ATAAGGTATCCCAAATTCTGGTAGAGGATTAGAAAAAGCCCAAACAAGGAACCAAAATGTAAAGCAAACAAATCAAACAAAGAAAGCAAATAAAGGTGATCTAGCCCTAAGGTAACCCTACTTTTAAGTGTATCCCCAACAGAGTCGCCAGTTCTGTGATACGGTAGGAAAACTGACTTAGGTGTTTTGCGTTTTATCGCAAATGTTGCGGTTAGCAAGAGTCGCCGCCGAATTTTCTTTTATCCAAAAGGAAAGGCTGAAAAGAACAGGAAAGACCTTTGAGATTATTTCTTGAGTTCGGGGGTAGATTATGAAAAGGGAAGGTGTTAGCACCCTTTTCATCCATAGTTATCTATGGGCTCTTAGTTGCTTGCTAGATCATTTGCTTTTGTTTGAAAATGTATTTTTTGTGGTTTTTGAAAGTATTTTGAAAAGCCGCATTCGTTTAGGCAAACTTTGTAATAGTTCTCGTTCGTAAGAACGTATATAAAGTGTTAGGCTTTTGAAAATATTTCATGTTTGAAAAATGTTTTGAAAGTGTTTTGAAAGTGTTTTTGAAAATGTTGGTGTTTGTTTTGAAAATAAGCAAGGATGTTTGATTTGAAAATAAGAAAGCAACTAGGAACAATCTCCCTACTCAAAAAGTCTTTGTTCATTTCTTCCTTTCCTTTAATATTGTTATTTTACCATTGATTGGTAAAAAGCCTTATCTTTGAATGTAAAGGGACGGGCATGAGTCATCGTACAATCATGATAGTTATGTTGTAAGATATCTTAGCATTTTCTCTTAGAAGGACTAAGATCATTTTGAAAGGCAACATTGATAGCGTCATCGAGGGACTATGATCTTGTATTTTTTATTTGTTTTTGCTAAGACATCCCACACGCATAACATGGCCATTTTGGTAAGGCAACAAAGTGGAATCACCCTAAGGGTGCAAGTGTATTTGATTTACATGTATTATTTTGTCTTGAATTTAGGTTTGCTACATGTTGATTTTAGTCTTTTCATACAAACCCTAATTACTAGCATTTATATAGAGCGATAAATTGCGAAAATTAAAATTACTACGCTATTACATTATTAGGGGAGGGGGTATACAAATTTACAAATGGGGATTGGAAGAAAATTAAACTTAATTATCTATTACAACCATATTGAATAATATACAAGAATTGAATAAATAATGTATAAGGAAATAAATGGAAAGGAAATGATTTTGTTTTATTTTTAATGAAAGGATTTTAACCTAATTAAGAGAGATGATTAATTAAAATTAAACAAAATTAAAATTAAACTAGTTAATAAAGAAATTAAGTTAAAATATTTTTTAGGGTTTTTTATGAAAAGGTTTTAAGTTAAATGATAATAATATGAAAATTAAAAGAGAACCTAAATTATAAGTTAATTTTAAATAAAAAATAATAATTGAATCTAAATCTAAATATTAATTAATTAAAAAAAAGTAATTTATTAAGCAAATGTTTTTAGTCTTTTTGTCTTTATAAAGAAAATAAAATAAATAAGTGTAAAAAGAAATAAAATATTTTTGGATTTTCTTATTATTAATAATAATAATAATAGTAATAATAAAAAATAATAAAAGAAAACTAAAAATAAATAAAAATAAGAAAAAAAATATATAAAATGAAATAATAAAAAAAAGGTTGGGTCAGGTGTGCAAAAGTAAGGCAGGGGCCTGTTGCTGGAGCAAAAAAGAATGAAACAATGTTGAAAAATAGAATAAAATGTAGTGCTGGGTGTTGAATCCACGATCTCCCACATAAACGCGCGCTACCTTTGCCACTGGGTGGTTGTACATCCGGTAACATAAACAAAACTAATAATACATAACACAAGTCATGTCCTGATTATAACATCATCTTCAACCTCCAGCCTGAACATCTGTAACTTCACCATTTCTCAACAAAAATGAAAGATACAAACATGAAAGTTGCTCCATTTTTCTATACAAATCCAACCATATAAATATCATAAGCTATAAATCAAAGATGAATGAGAATTTCTAAAAGTACCAAATTCTGACCTAATTATTTTCAGAGATTCAAACCTAAAATTCTCCTAGCTCAATCAATATAAATGAAATCTATGGACATGTACAGTTTCAGGGCAATGATGTCTACATTTTATCTTCACAAATGCAAGCCTAACAATGCCTAAATGAGAAGATAGAAGTTCAGGAAATGTACCTCAAAATTGGAAATCGTGAAATGAGTTTGATCTGCTTTCAAGGAGTTGTGATGATCAGGTTAACTTCCTCAAGTTCTCAGGAAGCTAATGCAATGATTAGCTTGAGCAATGGATGGCTGGAATGGCTTGGAGAAGTCAATGTGCAGACTCTGTTTTTTGGTTATATAGTTTGATGCAAATGGTGTTACAGTGATGAAACAGGGACAAGGATAGGTTATATTTGATGTATAAGAGCTTTAGGAAACAAAAGGCCAAGAAACGCACGAGGTAAATATGAGTTACAAGTTCAAAGTCCGAAACTGTGCAAATGTGGTATTTTTGGACGATTTTTGGCTAGAGAGGGTTTGAGAGAGTTTCAGGGTGTTAATGCTCGTGTCTTAGCTCAAAAATAGTGCCTCTATTTATAAGCAACAAGTTTGGAGACTTGTCCTTGATCAGAATTCAAAATCACATGTTTGTGGCTTTTCGCTTGATTTTTAAGAAAGCTTGAGAAATGTGGTTCCAATGCACAAGCATCTGGCTTATATGGTGGCTTAGAAGCTTTAAACATGTTGCTTCTGAGCATACATGTTGTGTGTGTTCAGAACAACAAGTTAGAAGCTCAAGAAGAGTGAACTTTGTGCATAAAACCACTTTTCCAAAATGACAATGTTGCCTTTCTTTCTAAAATGGTATTAAACATGGGCAATGCATTGAATGCTTGGATTAAAGCTTCTAGCAGTTGTGCAAAACATTAATTATGGAGTGACAAACAAGTTTGAGACCTGCAAATCAAAAATTATGCAGCATAGCATTGAGATTGAATCATGTGTTCATCAAGAAATGACTTGTAATTCAAGAATGAAACCCTAACTTCTTGCCTTCGACTCTCATTGCTCAAGTATGATCTCAATGACTTCTTGGACATTTTGGAAAGCTTGTAACATTCTCTACAACCTCTATGTTGAACATTTTTAAAGATTCATCTTAGAACTATGTTAAAAATTTCCATGAAATTAGGTCAAAATCTTGCCTAAACTAGGGCAAAATTTCATTGTTTTCAAGTTTCATGAACATGTCTTCTTAAAATCATAACTTGAAATCCATGCATTTCTAGAAAAGTTGTGTTCTACAATGTTTTAGATCTCATTGAGATCTACAATTTTCATGTTGGAAGTTTCCTTTGAATCATCTTGCATCATGGTGAAAACTTGGCTCAAAGTCATGAAAAAAAATATGAATTTCCAACACTTAGAAAAATTCTAAATCTTGGAAATTTTGACTTTACAAAATGACATCTTGACTTTTTAATTTCTTGATGAATAAGTTTCATATTTTGATATGTCTTGATGAATTGTGATCTTTGATACTTGATTTTGACCAAAAAGTCAAAGTTTGACTTTTCAGTGTATAGTTGACTTTTCATTAGTTGACTAAAATTTATGTGTCAACCAATTGATCTTGGGAAATATTTTGACCCATGTCATTAGGTCAAAATGAAGCATTTGAATCCTTGAGATCATGCCTCAAACTAATAAGTCATTTCCTTGGTCAAAAGTCAGAAATTGCACATTCTCAGCCAAAACCCAAATTTTGACCATTTTGCCCTTTTGATGATTTGATCAAATTTCTTGAGAAATTATGATCCAAACTTGATCAAATGACATATATGAGTTCATGATGTTGATATGGATAAAAAATTATGAAGTTTGACTGTAAATTGACCATAATTGATTTTGTCCCAATATAGCTGATTTTAGGTCAACTGATCAATTGACTGAGCAAAAATGTGATCCAAGACTTGAAACTTGACATGAGAAAACTTGAGGATCCAAAATGATCCATGAAAGTCATATGGGGCATTAAAAGTCCATTTGTCTTTGTGCAAACTCAAACCCTAATTTTCAATTATTAGTGCATGAGGAGGTGTCTTGAGCTGATCAACCCTTGTGCAGTCTTGAACCAAAGGAGATCTTGTGAGAGATTACTTGAGAAAATGAGAGGTCAAATTTTGGGGTACAACAGAATGTAACACCAGATTTTTAGTTAGGTTAATCGCACTAGTGTTGCCGTACATGATAGGAATACGTGAAAGTTTAATATCAAATTCAAGTGGTTGTTGTTTGAGCCACAAAACTTAAGCACAACAACTACCATCTCCAACGTATTTTGCCTCAGCCATTGACAAGGCAGCGAAAACTTATTTCTTGTTATGCCAACTAACTAAGGAATTTGAAAACATGTGGAAAGTTCCACTAGTACATTTCCTATCTGACTTGTAACTAATGAAACCGAAATTGGAATAACCAACCAAACTATACTTAGATGTACCATGAAGGTATCTAAGGATGTGTTTGGCAACTTTTAGATGAGATTCCTTAGGAGTCGATTGATAACGGACGCACATAGAAATGTTAAACATAATGTCAGTCCCAGGCGTAGTAAGATATATAAGAGATCCAATCATACATCTATATTTCTTGACATTAAAGTCTCAATTGATTTTGTCTTATCCATACCGAATCGTTTTAGAAATTCGTGACAATACTTTGTTTGACACGCGGACGTTCCTTCATTGAGTTGCTTGATCTGAAGTCCAAGAAAGTAATTCAACTCCCTCATTAGACTTATCTCAAATTCCCCCTACATTAGCTTAGAAAACTCATTGACCATTTACATGTTAGTAGAACCAAATATGATAACGTTCATTTGAAATAATTTAAAATTCTTAGAGAATGCAAAGGCTAAATGTATCATACACCCAGTATATCATATACCTTTTGAAGCATAAACAAGTAAAAGAAAGGACTTACTTACATGGCGAAAACTGAAACGATATTGCCTCACTATACAAATGACGGAGGATACACATGCATTTTACAAGGAACTCTCGAACGAAAGTTGAAACAAATGCAAAACATCTACATTGTCTTTGAACATCAATGATCTTACCACTTTTCTCTTTTTCAAAGTAATCGATAATGTGATTTGTAATGTATCTAAGAAGTTTATTGATTTGTTGATCATCCATTTTGGTTGGACTTTCATCCTAGTCCTTTTCATGATTTTTATCTTGCTCCTCCTCAGGTTTCATCGTTTTAGGTTGATCCATCCTTTATTCGGTATCCTTGAGTATGTCTCTTGAATATACATCTGCATCATGAAACAAAATATTGTTTTTGACATTTTTTGGATAAGAAACATTAAAAGTAATCCACGCATCTTTTATCAATTAAATAACACTAGTTGTTGTCTTCCGAGGTTACATAGCCCTTCTTCATTGCCGCAAAGTCAATGAAAATAAGGAGATGTCACCAATGATATGTATTGAGCATCCCCAAATGAGAAACCATATTCTCTTCATAGAGGCAAGACATTAATCCTACAAGATCAACAAGAAATTCTAGGTACCAATCTTCATTGGGTTCTTGAGGGTTAGTGAAAACATGGTTGCGTTTGGTCAGCCATTGCAAAACACTTTTAGGAACCAAAAAGCTCCTAAACTTTACATTTTTCAATAGTATGACTTTTCTTGCAACAATAGAGACAAGACAAATTATGAAAAGATTTACTTTTTCTATTTGAATCCTTTTTAACAAAGTTATACTTTTTATAAGGTTCATTCAAAGACTTTATAAACTTTGAGGGATAATAGCAAACGTAATCTTTGGTTATAATGCCTTATCCAATTTAGCTTTAAGAATTTTAGACTCTTTTTGCCAAGTGTGACAAGTTTCACGATCGAACTATGAAGGTTTTTCATCCTCCTTCTTAACTTTTAGACTATCTAACATAGATTATTGTAGAGCTTCCATTTTCTTTTTGGTTTCTAAAAATTTAGCTTCTAATTTTGAAAACATCTTTTTATGTGAAACTAACTTTTTAAAAGCATATATTGATTCTCTTTGTAGATTTTCAAAAGCTAATTGTAACTCAGAATAAGACAATTTATCAACATGTTCATATTTAGAATGACTTACATTCTTTTTCTTCTTTTGACGTTGATGGGCCAAGAGACAAACATTTACCTCTATTTCACTATCACTGGAGATTTCATTACTTGAGAAGTCACTATCACTTTTCCAAACAATATAAGCTCTTCTAGACTTGCAAGATTTCTTGTGTTGACCCTTTCCCTTATCATTGCCAAGCAATGGACAATCCAGCTTATAATGACCAGTTTTGCCACAATTATAACATGAACCTTTTGACTTTCCTTTCTTATTATCATATTCCTTTGAGGAGTTTGATTGTCTTCGAAATTTGATGAGATTTTTGTTGGAGTGCTTTACCCCATTTCATTTGATGTACCTATAGTACATTTTCATAAAAAGCCCCATTTGTTCATCATCTGAATTCTCGCCGTCACTTGTTTCACTATCACTTTTCTCGTTTATTGAGGACCTCAAACTATATGCCTTTAGAGCAATGGACTTATTTTCTACCTCCTATTATTTTCCTTTCTCTTTATTTAACTTCTTCTCAAGCTTCTTTTCATGATTCTCTAAGCAAGTGAATTCTTGCTCATGTACTTCAAGCTTACCAAACAATATAGCGAGGTCTAGTATTGTAAGATCATTAACTTCCTTGATCGCAGTGACCTTAGGTTGACGTTTCCTATTAAGACACCTCAAAACTTTATTAGTAGAAATTTCATTGGTGTCGCGCCGCGAAAAAAACGGAGTCACCACCGAACTCTATTTATCCCGAAGGAAGGGAAGATATCGATGAAATGCCTTCTAAAGTCTTTAAACAGCGACTTCGAGCGCATGCTCTTTATTGTCCTACTTCTCCTGATATCTAGAAAACGTAAAGCATGCATCTCTATTCCTACTTCTCATGGCATCAGAAAGCGGTAAAGAGTGAAAGAGATAAAAGGAAGCATGTGAGAATACCAATCGAATGCAAGTTCGTCAGTTAGCAGATGAAAGCAAGTAACCCAAAATACTTCGAGTGATCTTCATCAAGAAAGCACAATAGTCAGAAAATAACATCCAATAAAGATCATGTGCGAAAATAAATCATGAGCAATGCACATCAAGTTAACATCCTGCACTAAGTAATGCTACACAAGCAAATGATGAAATCCGAACAAATGCGCCGCGATGAGACGCCTTCCAAAACTTGCACAATCTCACCAAATGAGTTAGCAAATAACAACACAATGGAAATAAAACTAGAGTACCGAATTACAACTCAAAAGAATAATGAAATGCAAAAACACAAGGTGCAAATGAATACAAAGAGTAAGAACGAAAACTGAGCAACCACGTGTTATACATGTAAATGCACAAAACACCGATTAAAAATCATGCAAGCTCAATGTTAATCCTAAACTAAAACTTAATAAAGGCTAACGTTTCATAAACCAACAACTAAAACATGAGTTTTCACCTAATTAGTAAATCGGGCAGCACTATACACATTCATGAATTGACCCGAAAATTGTACTGAAAACGGGATGGTTCAACAATGATGTTCCCTAAACGCCTAAACATGTTCAAGTAAGCCTTAACAATATTTAAAGCGAGTATTTACACCCAAGTATTGACTCCGGGCAACAACACACGCAAACTCATTATCAATATTCATGGCATATTTATTATGTACGACTGAACCACAAATGACAAGTGAAATAGTGTATACATGTGGAATTAGAAACGGGGAAACATTGTTATCATAACACAAGTTAATCGAAAATTGCTAACGGAAACAAGAAAACTAAACGTTCATATTCACGAAAGATTCAATTAGATGCGGATAAATGTCAAACAGAAAATTAAGGCGAAATACGTACATGGAACCAAGTCCGGACAACATCTTTTTATTCACAAAAACGCACATGAAATCAGTTACAAAATCAATTGAAATGGTACCGGTGTTCGACAATTACCAAAACAAACTATTCTAAATGATTAGCAAAAATTAATTGAACAATTGTCATGGTCTTCTAATACCGAACAACCTTATACCTCAATAAAGAGTGGCTTGAAAAACCTCAACGGAAACGGTATAACTCAATCGCATTAATCCACAAATGTACCAAAACGCAAGAATAGGCATCGAACAATTTCGAAGTTCAATTGACAAGGTATTCACAAGTTCTGATATAATTCGACATCCAAAAGTTATCAACAAAATTTATCCAGATTCAACATCAAATTCACCAATTCACCATGATTTGATACCAACAGCCAAGAACTAACATGAATCTAACGGTTATACTCTAGACTCTTGTTCTAAAACAAAGATGCTCATCAATCAACCTATTCCTCTTTTCATCATTTTTCCACCGTTCAAGAAATCAAGACTTATGCATATTCAATAATTCAAATATCTCATGAATTTTCAAGAACCAAGTTCAACACAATTCAAGAATCATATAATTGTTTAACAATTCAAATTCAAGAATCACACTCCAATATTCAATTCAATATCAAATTAACTCATGAAATCAAAACTTTGTTCAATTCAACAGTCCAAAGTTCAACCTAAACTCATGAATATCTAACACAATTCCATTCCTAATCATCCCCATCACCTTATGAACAAATGTTTCTCAATTTCAATTAAACCAAATATGCAAACAAGCATCTAATTCAACTGTAGATCGAGAAAATTACCGAAATCAAGGTGAAGCCGAAAGGAGACGGTATTGGCCGAAGTGTTATCGGAAGAGAGGGAGGAGCATCGTTGGAACGTCATTGAGTCGGAGTTGGCGGGAGAAGAAAACACAGCGGACAGCTTGTCGTGGCGGTGATGATGCTCACAAACCGCATGAAGTCGGGAGGAAGGTGATGGCGTTGAGACCACCGACGGAATGAGGTGGCAGTGGCGTTGATCGGAATGGAGCGTTTGCCGATGGTGGTTCAATTGGAAGTGCTTGCGGGAACTTGAAGGAGAAAACGAAGTTTGTTGAGTTTTTTTGTTTGTAGAGAGTTTATGAGATTTTGAATAGTGAGAGAGAAGAAAGGATTGAGAGAGTGTAGAAAGAGAAAGTGAAAACCACACAAAATGAAAAAAGATTCGTAAAATTAGGGAAAACAAATTGGTATATAGTGTTAGGATTGGGTCTAACTTGCATTGGATCCAATTTTGGCTCAATTGGGGTTGTTTAGTGTTAGAAACGTATGCATCACAAGGACCTTGATATCCATGTGAAAATCGAAATCAGACTCAACAGCAAAATCGAAGATTGTAAAATTTTGACGCGATCCCGAAAGAACGGACTCAATCGGATAAACGACAAAAAAATTATGAATTTTCGAAGCCGCTCAAACGCTGTCTTTTCCGGATCAACAACGAATTTCATTGTTCCATTAGCAAAATGGACCATAAACGGAAGCCTTCGGAGTACCGTTTGAACTCGGAGTATCAAGAAAAGTTATAGCTGACATCATTTGTGAAATTATGTCAAAAGAATCGTCTCGATACGGTAAAAATCGAAGAAGTTACGATTTTTACAATATCGGAAAAAGGTAAATTAAAATTCCAGTTCAACACATGAAAATCTCTGGTAATTCACACTTTCGGGGATCTTTTGTATAGAATCAGCTCTCGGCCCGAACATACGAAATGAAGTTAAAATCAAGACGGATTTTTCGCCCGAAGAACAGCTCAAAAACATCAATCTAGGAGAAAGTAACGAATTTTTGAATGTCCGAAAAATAACGGTTCAACACAGTATTTTCATCGTATTTCCACTGTTTCTTCTCAAAGTATCCACACGTTCAGAGATCTTCCTCAATGAATTTTCCCTCGAGCTAAACATATGAATTGAAGGATACATCAAGGAAAACTTTACGCCCGAAGAACCGCTTCGAAATAGTATTCGAATCAGAAGTTATGAATTTTTGAATGTTCGTGAAACGGTGGTCCAACAATTAAATTCAGTGCAATGTCTTCAAGGAATTAAAATTCCCGGAGATCTTCTACACAAAATTAGCCTTTGATTTGAACACAACAAATGATAATAAAATCAAGATGGTCTCAATGCTTGGAGAATCAACTGAATATACTGAATCAGATGAAAGTAACAAATTTCCCAATGCCAGGAAACATGTAACCAGTCGCTAAATTCAAATACCGTTTCAGGGAAATCAAATTATTCAGAGACCTTCTGCACATAATTAACTCCTGGCTTGAAGATATAAAGTGAAGAAAATACCAAGATGATTCCAATGCCTAAAGAATCAACTTAAAATAGTATCCTGATTGCAAGTTGCAGATTTCTGAGCTCAAACCAGCAAAAACACTATTTCTGATTCACACTGTCTCAAATTCACTGAAACACTCAATTCCTCTGTAGTGTATGAAAATACATGAGAGCCTGACATGATGATGGCTCGAACTATCATTGGTTTGATTGCTTGCGGAATATGCGGAATACATTTAATCCTTGAAAAACCAGAGTTTTGTCTTGTTGTTTCTGCCCAACAGAATAATCTCTTTTTGTGTAGCTTTTGAAAAGAAACTCCTTGATCCTGTAACCATCAATGATGCATGAAATGATATATGACCTATTAAAGGATATTCATAAGCCAGATGAGCCTTATAAAAGGGTAGGACAAATTTGGGGTATGACAGATGTCTCTATTTAATCGTCTTAAACCTGAAAGTGAGATTGGCGCTAGCCTTTCGAACATTCAAGGTAGAAGATGATTAAATATTATTGTACCCTAAAATTTTCCCTCCGATTTTCAATACAAAATATTCCAATAGGTCTCCTCATGCTCATGAAGTTCTTAATTTCTCAAGACTTATCAAAGATTGAGCAGACAAACCAACCTCCTAAGCAATTGACCTACAACTAGAGTTTTACTTTTCTCAAAGGAAATTGGATTTCTAATGCCTCAAGTGGACTTCATGAATCCTCATATTCTTAAAAGAATCCTCGTGCCAAATTTCAAGCCTTACAACATAAGTTTGCTCATTCAATTAGTCAGATGATTGAAAATCAACTATACTGGATAAAAAGTCAATTTTGACCAATTTACAGTCAAACTTCAAGATTTTTGGTCAACGTCAATATTTTAAAGTCACATTCATAATTTGGTCAAGTTTTGATCATGATTCATCAAGAAAACTCAAGATTCATCCAAAGTCAAAAGTTACTAAATTAGGGTTTTCTTAAGGAGAAGTCAACTAAACTTTGACCAAGCACAACTTTCACATACTTTATCAGAAATTTCTCAACTAAAACTCATTTTGAAGGAAATTCAATTGTCTACAACTTTGTATCTCTAAGCTCAAGGTCAAAAATGCTTCATTTGAGACATATGGGCCAAAACATTACATGTCATTTTAAAAGTAAACAAAAAGACACTTTTTTATCAAAGCACTTTACATCAAGATAAAGGCTTCAAATGAAAAAATGACCAACATGAAAGATGTAGGAGACATCTTGAAATTTCCAAAAAGTCAAAGATCACCTTCATATAACAAAAATGGAGCGATATATGATTTGTGCAAGTTGGGTAATTTTGAGAAAATGCATGAAATCTAAATTGAGCAAATTTGAATTTTTGGGCTAACGGGCCTATCTTTTAAAGTCCAAACGTGTTCCTGACCTCATAACAAACCTCTTAATCCATTCATTTATTTTTGTGGTTTTTATTTCATTTTATTTTGATTTTATTCAATTAAAAGTAAAATAAATCAAATAAAATACCAAATAAATGACATAAGGCATGCAAATCTATTTTTGAATCAAATCATAAGTCTAAAAAGCTGGTGACTACTTGCAAAAAACGTGTAAAGTTTGATTGATACATGATTGGCCTAAAATAGAAATACTTCATGCAAAAATTCCAATCAAAGATTTGATCATGAAATACAAAAGGTTGATCTCACTTTTGTTGACCTAATATTCTCATTATAAATACATGAAAATTTTCCTCAAGAACAAGCCCTAAAAAATCTCAAAATTGTCAAAATTAAAGAAACTTGAAACCTTCATCTCCGGCCTTGTTCAATCCGTTTCAAGCATTTCATCAGCTTCCTAAAGTTCTCAGGAGTCCATCCCAATCATCCTTGAAGCAATTCCACGTTCAAAACAGTCACACCAAGTTGGACCAGTTGGGTAATTTTCGTGAATCTCAAGCTTTTAATCTATGCATATCTAATTGTTATACTCCAAAATTTACTCTCTCATGTTTCTCAAGGTTTTTTCTTTATATGGGTTGTTACAAGCACTTGCCTAAATAAAATGAAATTTTTGAATGTTAGCAAAGTGTCTTTCGATTGACAGTTCAACAATGTCCTTCGATTGGTATCTAAATAGTGTCTTTTGATTGGCATAACAACAAGCTTCGACTGGGCTCCTAAAACCCCTTCAACCAAGCATTGGCCCATCAACTTCGATTGTGCATTGGTTCCCCTTCAAGTAAACTTTGGTCTACGAGTATCATTCCAACAATGCCTTTTGTGCGTGCCTTCAGCGCACTAGGCAAATACTCCCTTTGTGCGTGCCTTCAGCGTACAAAGCAAGAATCCCCTATAAGTTTGCTCCGATTCACCAGCAGTGAACTCCTGCATAAAAGCTTTGATTGGGCACTAAATCTCATTCGATCAAACTTAATTCACAAAGCTTCCTCATGCTTTCCTTGGTTTCACAAGGAAAAGGCCCATCAGCTTGCCTTCGATCTACAAGGCAGAAAGCCCCTTTCATTGATCTTTAATTCACAAGACAAAGGGCTGCTTCAGACATGTCTTCGACTCACAAGGCAAAGGCCCCCCCTTCAGCTTGCCTTCAGCACACAAGGCCAAGACTCCTTCAGATTTGCCTTCAATCCACTAGGCAAAAAGGTTTCCTTCGACCCAAAAGGCATTGGTTGCCTTTGTGCCAGCTTCGAATGGGCAATGGTCCCCTTTGAAATAGTTTTCCACACTTCAACACGCATGGTAGTCCCTTCAAAGACGCATTTATGTGGTCCCTTCGGAGAAGCATTCATTGGTCGATTCGAAGGACACATGACTATTGAAAACAAGTTTGCTTTGTGATGATACTTGGTCCAAGATGCTTGCTGACTAAAATCTTGTGCGCTACCAAGCCCAAACCCCCTACACAAGCACATACCTGCTAGAGGAAGCTTCGACTGACCAAAGTAAAGTCTTTCGATTAGGCTAGTTGAGTAGTGTGAGAGCAATTGAAGAGAGTGAACTTAGGGACTGATCGAAGAAGCCAGAATGTTGAGACTTTGTACAAATAGAATCAAGATCCAGAGTCAATCGAAAAGCAAAGATCTAATGGGCTTTCGAAGAAGCCCTAGTGAAGGAAACTCTGAACAGATTTGAATCGAGAGTCATCAAAAAGGACAAATGCTCTGATGAAGAGAATTTCGGGCAATTCGAATTGATGCAAATATTGACTTAATTAAAGAAACTCTGATAAGGGAAAACTCTGAATTCATAGTCATCAAAGATCTGAGCAATTCGAATTGGTGTGGATGGACTCCATCGAAGGAGCTGAATCAGAGCATTCGAATGACACATGGTTGCTGAATACAAGCTTGTCTTATGATGGGTCTTGGTCTTACATGTGGCAAGGCCCAGGCCTCTTGTGCATTAGCATTCGAAGGTGGTGACAAAGGAGGTTTTCGATTGGCCATATTGAAGTTTTCGTTTGAGTTGTTTGAATTAAGCAACTAGGGCAAGTAGATAGACTCAATTGAAGAAGCTCTAATAAGGAGGTTTCTGAACACTTCGAATCAAGACTCTGGGCCATTCGAAGGAGGCAATAAGATTCATTCGAAGGAGGACATTCGAAAGTCAAATGTGTCCATGTCCAATACAAATTCAAAAAAAGGGACAAGAAACCATGTCTTTGGCAAAGTTTCAAAGTGATATTCATGGCCTTAAAACACCTACTTAATGGCTATTTATTCCTTTTCCCTCTTGTCCCCTCCATCCCCTGTATATAAGGAGCACAGTAGTAAGCTTTAAGACGGCTGGAAAACACCTCAGGGAGTCACACAAAAAATTGCAAAAAATCTCCAAAGTTGTCAAAC